ACGGCCATATCCGTGTGCGCTGCTGCTGAGCGCGTGCTGACGGCGAGCTTCCGCAGTCCTTTCGGAGTGTGCATTTAGCACCATCAAGGTCTTAGCAGGCTATAAATGTAACCTCGTTCTGATCATGCGCTCTAAACATCGCCCTCAAATATGGCGTACAGTGAACGATGTCCTCACGTGTTTGTGAACCTGCTTTCACGACTTCGTCTTTAGACCGCCAGGCGCTATGAATATCTGATTCGATCGAGAAGGCCGCGAACCTGCCCGACACAGCTGTCTGTTCTAACCGTAACCTTCCTTCGATTTCGCTGCAGTGAAATGAAGTGCCAGAAACCGTGCGAGCTCGTTCCAGGTCGAACTTGCCTCTGGTCCTCGTCTAAATATGAAATGGAATATCCGTACGAATCGAAAGTTTTCCAACCAAGCCTATGCCCACCCCTAACCCGCCTTATCCGACGCGTCAAAGACGTGCTGGAAGGTAAAAGCGTGCCATGCTTGGCATAATAATAATTTTTACAAAAGCTCGAGGTACACCTAAGCATTTCTTATGAGTTGTGAATGCGAAAGCATGCAAGCCGCTCGTCCGCTCCCTTTGTCGTCTGCTACTTACTAGCGCGCGCGCGCGCTTTGGAATCTCGGAGGCCATGGCGCAGCGGCCAATGGGAGCGCCGTCGACGCGCGCCAGCCAATGGAACCGAAGGCGAATAAACCAGGAGCCGTTTTCGCGCTTCAAACTGATGACGTCAGCTCGCTCCATGAGGCAGCTGACGTCATCGCTCCATGAGGCCATGAGGCAAAAAATGTCTATTGTCTCTCTCGCCGACCAAACTCGCTGCTGCTGCACTCGATGCTCTCGAGGTAACAAAGGATTTGTTCGACCTGAAAATGATGGACATTGCCGCACCCTGCGGTAAACCAGTATGTGCACCGCCCCAAGCGCGAGCTTTCTGCCTTCGGTAACACTTTGTCGGAAGCATGATGGAAAAAAACATAGCAAGAAACACAATGTGGTTCTTGCACTGTGGTCGCAGGCAGAGCCTTTTATACTGGGAGAGTTCGGCGGTTCTTTGATCCAGCCGCCAGTCTGGCAGCACTGATCAAACAGTGTGGCAACTGTGCGCATCCGCCATGATGTGCCTTGCCGTCTAGCTTGATTGCACCTTTGCATTTAATTGCATTATAATTATAACCTTAAATTGCAAGCTTCAGCCTTGTTTGGTGTAAGGCTGGTGGCGGCTGATAAAACCCGTTTGCCCTACTGTCTCGAGCCGGCAGTCGGCTCGCTAGAGTCCATGGAGCGAGAGACGACGATGAAAATGATCGTTCTGCGCTGCGCTCTGCCAGACGTTAGATGAAAAAGAAATGGGGGGCTGCAGTGCCGTTGGGTGCTCGAACAACGCGAAAAAGGGGTTCAGGATATACCGGTTCCCGCAAGGAAAAGAAAACCGCGCAAGGCACAAGATCTGGGAACCCAAACCAAGAAGGGCTGACTGGAAGCCGAGTTCTTGATTGTGCGAGGTAAGTTTATGATTAACGTATGATTAACGTAACAAAATGCTTGATTTTTCGACTTTCTCCTTACGCCAACAAAAGCGCAAACGGCAAAACCTACACGCGTATACATCGCATGTCAATGGGGACCCACTCGCCGGGAGGCACATCATGGCGGAAGCGGCGCCCGCTGAGTCCGCTAGACCTAGCGGGCCGTAAGCCCCTCCCACCCGCCGAACTCTCCCAGTATAAAAGGCTCTGGTCGCAGGTGCCCGGCGGAAGGCAACACGCGCGTGCTGGAGGCGGAGCATCCTGACGGCCTATTCTCAAGCTTCACGAGCGTTCACTCGCTGCTCGTGCAATGAGGCAGCCGCTGTTCTAAACACCCGTTCCTCCCAAACCCACCCTTTTTATGCACCGCCAACTAAAGCTTTAGTTAACAGAAACTCCGCGTTCCTTCGCAGCAGCCATCTCCGACCAGAACACCATCTTCGGGAAAACATACATGTCTTCCAGGCCCGACCCTTCGCCATATCGCCCGCCTGGTCCAGAAAACGTGGTCACTGTGGGCCACAGGCAGCCTCAGGAAGCCCAGGTACTCGCGACGTGCAGTTTTCCACAGGGCATGCACCCCACTGGTCAGACAGAGGTTTGCCTCAGAAATTAATATTAGGGGGAGGGGGGGATGAGAGTAGAGGCAGGCACAAGGAGGCAATAAGCCTATTCCGAAAAATCCCTGCGTGCAACACTGCGCCCTTTGTATTTTGGGATATCTTTGGCCATGGAAAGGAGTGGCATGGTTTTGTATTTTGATTGCCCCTTTCACAAAGTAGCGCATCTCAGCGCTGCATAAAAATAAAGCTAGCTCTCGTTTGCATTGCACCCATTCATCTTCGTGAGAGGCCTTGTGAAACACGGATCTCCAGCGGCCGTAAGGACCTGTTTAGATGTAGCGAGGAATAAGACAAGAGTTAAGCCTGCCGAGTCCCATATTCTGGTGGTTTGACTATCACTCCAGAGTGCGGCATGACCCTTTCGGGTCACGGATCATCTAAGTAGCCTAGGACGTTGAGACGATAGAGCAGGGCGATCGACCCGGTACATTTCTCCTTCCTTTGTTTACCTATACGCACAAACGCTGCTACGTCGGAAGCCTCAAAAAACGTGCCCCACCGTTCTATGTGTATTAGTAGGCAACAACATAAATTCGAGAAAAGTCACATTTTTGAAAATGCATGCGCTATATTTGGTCGTGAAGGGATTTCATGAATTGAGGTTCGCATATCGAAACCAAACCGGTGGCCAAGGGTATACCCGAGCTGCTTTGCGCGCTGTCAAAGCTTTGCGCGCTGTCAAAGGCCCAGACTTTTTAGGAGATAGGGAACTCACTGGCTTCAGAGTACCGACCCTTCTGCCATCTCGGTGCCAGTTCTCTCAAACGTTATCTGAAGCCGCGCAAAAACGTGTCTCCTGTGAAAATGGCGGTCATCCGCGGATGATCGCCGTAGAACAGCACTACGAGGCTCGGTCTGCGACGCATATGCAATTCTGGTTTTGCTATATATGAAAAGTATTAGAGTCACTGGCAGGAAAGCTAAAAAATCAAGCAAGCAAAAAAAAAAAGCATGAGCCGTTCATTTTTGTGGAGGTGGATGACCAGCGAAGCTGTTTAGCAGACGACATTGACCCGCCCCGAGGAGCCGGAGGAAACTAGACACGCGCGACGGAACCGCCACCCCGGGAAAGCGGAAGGAAAAAAAACTAGGTACGCAAGCGCTTGGAACGACAACAAAGAGAGGGTGGTGCGAGCGTAGACATGTGGCCGACGCGGGTCGCACAGTGGCAAATCTTTGAGAAACCTGTATTATCTACCTGAGAGTCTACTGATCTTGAAAATGGTGCCTATTGATAACTAATCTACTGAAGAGACCTATTGCTAAATTACTCAAGCATCAAGGAGAATGCAGGGAATTGTGTTCCACACACCGCACCTGCCGGCGTCTGCAGCAGTAGCTGTTTTTAAGCAAAAGCCTAAAACAAATGGCATGTTGCACGCGCGTTAGTCAACACTTTATTTTGGTTATTTATTTCGAATTTTTTATACGGGGAAGGCGAGCGCATGCGGCGCGTGCGGCGGTGCGAGCGTAGAGTTTTTGGTCACGCACACGAAAAATCCTCGGAACCCTAGCCATAAACAGCTAGCTTCGCTGTAAGAGGACCATGCCGAGCATTTGTTTCGTGCAGCTGCGCGGGTACTGTAGCGAGCTTCCAAATCATCCATTTGACACCATGAAACTGCTCGTATTAATGATGATTGAAAACCTCAGACTGTGGTTTGAAAAACAGAAAATCGTGAAGTAGAAAGAAAAAGGGACAGACAACGTCTCAAGGCGTTATCGTGTATCGTTTTGAGACGTTGTCTGTCCCTTTTTCTTTCTACTTCACGATTTTCTGTTTTTCAAACTACAGTCTCAGGTTTTCAATCATCATGTATAACTTGCACCAGCTCGTCTGCACTTTAACCGTTTTTTTCATTGCTCGTATTAAGTTGGGAACAAAGTCGACAGCTCAGAGTGATTCTGTGCCTGCCACGACTGGCCTAACTTTTCATTGTTGCCAATAAAAACTCTCCGTAAAAAAGAAAGAAAGAGATGAGCTTTAAAATTTTAAATTCGATAATTTCATGAAACAAAATTTACCTAATATTTGGATTACTAGGTCAGCGATGTTTGTTGGTGCGCTTGGTCGATTTTCAGACAAATCGGAGACCACGAGCAAAAAAACCGGAGTGGGAAACTCTGGCGTAACTTTTTTGGTAGCTATAGAGAAACCAAAAGACAGTCACAGCATTCGAAAAAAATTGTGTAACCCCCTTGTCAAAGAAAATGACGTCACCCGCAACACGAACCCCTCACCCTCACCCACAAGCTCCATTCAAACCATCATCACTATTTTGCTTTCATCCCTACAATACCATTGCATATCATTATCAGAGGCGGGGTCGCAAGCCTTCGTGGTACGGGTGATTTTCCCTTCTGCGGTACCGCGGCTTTCCTGATCAAACATTGCCCCCCCCCCCCCCCCCCCAAAAAAAAAAAAAAAAGACGCCTATAATTTGATTTGTCCATAATAACGAGACAAAAAATGCACGTAGTTCGAGTTCGTTCCCGAAGTTTTGGTAAATTGTTTTGAGTTCGTTCCCGAAGTTTTGGTAAATCGTTCCTATACCTCAGATACTCACGATAACGATACACGACAACGATAAACGATGCATGTGCAATGGCGACGGCGGAATATCGGGTACCAATACCGGAGTCATCGCGGAACGATCCACTAAAACGATACGCGAGTGTATTCCCAATCCAAACTGCACGCAGGTGAATCCACCGCCGCAGTCTCCAAAAATACCCGTTCCCGGCTTCTCAGCACCGGTACATGCGCCCCAGGCCATCAAAAGGCCGTTTCCGGGTGAAAACTCGGCCTTGCTTCCGACAAATTTGCCACCCGAAATGCCGCGCCCACCGGCGTTGTCCCTACAAGGCTCCCCGAGAAAGAAACCCTTTGTTCCTTGGAGTCTCGGGCAAGCGAAACCGGAGACGACCAGAAGCAGCGTACCGAAAGACTATCCGGACGAGCTGTCCGACACCGAGATCCACAATGTCAAGCGATTTTACCTCTGGCCGCTGAGTGCATTCAACTTTTTCTTACTGCTGTGTGAGTCAGACTCTCCATGTCATAATGTTCGGGAACCACGCCCGTTGTCCGGTTTCCTTCGCGTACCGGAATATTTTTTTCAAAGTATTCTGGTCATGTTCCCTGGAGCTGAGGGAAGACCGTGTAGATGTCCTGCTTTCTTTAAGAACGAGCCCAATATACAGCGAAATCTTTGACACTGAAAAATACCGAATCTGTGGGGAAAAATAAACGTAAAAAAACTCTCCCCGAATTCGGCGAAAAAGAAATCCAGAAAATGTGGATGGAACGTTATAACTTTTTTGCATGTTTAGCCCCCTTCCAAGTCTCTTTCATTCAGGGTCGGATTTAAGAAAGGAAGAAGGGGGGAGGGGGAGGGGGGGGGGGGGGTAACGAAAAAAACAACACCCACCAACGTTTTTTTTTAAGAATGAAATGTTTCAGTGTTTAGTGAAATGGCAATTAGCAGGTCAACAAAATAGTCCTGCGCAATGCTATGCCCGTGACGTACAATGTCCGTAACGTCAAATCTCGCGATCCCTGTAGGCCCTCCCGCAAGCCTGACCGATAAAAATCGCCTTTGCCTTTATCGGTTCCAGTCTCCGGCCTGTTGTTCGGAGCGGCCCTGTACTCCATGTTCGACGAGACCTCGTCGCCGGTTACACCGCCCAGCACGTGGCTGGTGCTGTTCATCCAGAACCTCGACGTCCTGCTGCTCTTCGCCACGGGTTTCCTCTTTGTGGCGGCCTCCATAGGGCTCATCGGCACCGTGCGCGAGAACATCGCGCTGCTCGACGTCTACCGCAACATCCTGATCGTTACCGTCGTGCTGACCACCGCCTTCGTCACCTTCCTCGTGCTCCTGCCAAGTCTGGGCAAGGCGTACGTCTTGGCCAACATAACGCCGAGCGTCATCGCGCACTACCGGGACACGCCGGACATGATGAAGGCGAGTGAACGCGGTGCTTCGACCCTGGTCTTCTGAAGGTCTCATGTGCAATGGAGTCTTTTCAAAAGTGCGCGCCATATTGGCTTCGCTTCACCGCAACTTGGCAAAGAGTGAACGCTAGGCGGCCCCTTTGAACAAGTCAGAGGAAAGCAGGCGAGTCACGTGAGAGCCCTCTCCTCACCGAAGGTACAGGAGCGAGAGCGCAAACCGAGTATAGTTGGAAAAGAGGGGTACAAGGAACTCTGCTTTTACCAGGACCCTCTATTGCGTGTCTCAGAAGTTGCTTTTGTCCCCCTCGGAGATTAGCCTCCCACTCAAAATTCGTACAAAAGCGGCTTTATTCACCGACAATGTCACCTCAAGAAAAAAAAAAGGCAAGTTTTGCGCATTTTTTATACGCTGCGCGAGGCTGTCGAAGGAAGAAGCGATGTATTTTGGCGTTTGAACAGGGCACGTCTTGATGACATAGCATATATATAATCTAAATTCTAAAATGTACTCAGATATATCTTGACTCTCCCCATAAAGGAGGAAAATTGGTAACGCTCCCCAACTTTTTTTTTTTTTTTTACTACGGTTTTTGAGGTGAAAGCGAGTATATTGAGGTAGAGTATGGTCACCTGCTTCCCTCTGGCGCGCTGATTGGCTCACTGGCACCAGGCATACCATTCGCAGTTTGCGAGTGGGACGGAGTAGAGTAACCGCATTGCCATTGTTTCATCATGCACTCTTGAGCATGTATCGGAAACAAACGCTGCGTCGGCGTCCAGTGTCGGATTTCAGCTCGTATCGAGCTCGAGTAGTCAGCGTTCGGTGAGGATTCGGATTTACTCGCACGGTAATCATACGTTTCGTGCCCCAGAAATGACAGCCAACGCCAAGTTGCTTCTTGGGGGTTCCGTTGAAACGGGTTCTTCCTGACACCTACACTCATAAAACTTGAATATGATAAATGCACCACCTAAAGAAACATTTTTGAAACGCTTAATTGCACAGTTCATTATTTCGTTTACATTTTTTTAACGCCCGAAAATCGCTCACTGTGTGGTACAGCGTTGGTTTCGGCGACGAATTATCACGGAGGGTTCTGCGCTTGCAGCTCGTCAACTACGTGCAGTCGGTGCTCCACTGCTGCGGCGTCACCCAGGAATCCTACCGGGACTGGAACGAGAACCCGTACTTCAACTGCAGCGTGCACAACCCGAGCACGGAGCGCTGCAGCGTGCCCTCCTCATGCTGCCGGCAGGACACCGAGTTGATTATCAGCGCCATGTGCGGCAAGAACGTCATGAATCTGGTGGAGCACGACGCCTGGCAGGCAAGCTGCTCCCATTCCTCACTATCTCCTTTCTCGCCTTGCTTGACCGCCGACCCAAGTAGAGCAAAGTGGTCCACAAAAGTGGGGTCGACGGCGGTCTCCCGTCGGTTTTGCAACTCGGGCCCAAGTCGTCCCGACTTGGAATGCCCACCGGGCTTCACTTGTGGGACCTACAGTGAGCCTACGGGGGCAGCCCATATGAGGTCGCCCCGGGAGCTCAATTTCATACACGCTGAGTAGTAAGTTAGTAATAACGTTCAGCAAGCCTCAAATTTCTCAATCACGGTTAAATTACAATTTTCGGCGATTTGGTATTAAAATAAGCCGATCTCCTATGTTGGATTTCCAGAACGTACAGTAAATATTCTCAAAATTAGCGGAAAGTGACGTTTTGGGAGTTCCACAGGTGGTCCAAGTTGGGCATGCCTACGCTTTTCCCCCTTGGAGCTTACATCTATCATAGCCTTGCCCGCGAAAAGCCTTGGTTGGACCTGGGGAGCATGGCATGGGCAGCCCAATTTAGGCATGTCAACGCGGTGCCCCCGTGGATAACTGAGACGGGACCCACGGGGGCATCACAGGGGGGGGGGGGGGGGGGCAAGTTGGACATGCACATACTTTGCCACCGTGGAGCAGGCACCATTCATTCCTAACATGACCCACGCACAGCCGAGGTGGGACCCACAGGAGTTTTACACGGGCAGCCCATGTTGTGCGCGCCCACGCTTTGCCACCGTGAAGCTTGCACCATTGCTAACATGGCCCACGCACATTTGATCTGAGGTGGGACCGTCAGGGGTTTTACATGGGCAGCCCAAGCCGGGCATGCCTACGCTTTGCCACCGTGGAGCCCGCACCATTCCTAAAATGGCCAACGCGCAGCCGAGGTGGGACCCACGGGGGTTTTACAGGGGCAGCCCAAGTTTGGCACGCCCACGCTTTGCCACCGTGGAGCCCGCACAATTGCTAACATGGCCCCTCCACAGCCGAAATGGAACCCACGACGGTATCGCATGGGCAGCCCAAGTTGGACATGCCCACGCTGTGACAAACTTTTCCCTAGCATGCTAATTGACTCTCTTTGCGGTGCCGTCACTTCTTGAATGATTTCCTCGACAGTCCTTAATTCGCAGTACACGAGGTTGTAATCCGTAATAACGAAATCGAAGGCTGATTCCTCAGCATAAAGTAGGTCCCAGTCAATCGTTGGTCCCAGTCCTCAATTGTCAAGTTTTCCTCTGGCTCCATAGGAACAGCCACTGTATACGATTTACGAATCCACACTTGCGAAAGCAGTTTTATCAGCGTTGATCACATGATCAACGCTGATTCTGAATGTCATTTATCATGTTAACTCGAGCGATTGAGAGTTACTAAAACCCAGCTTATCAATAGAAATGCAGCAGCAACCCTTAAGTAGAGGAATGCGAGTTACTCCAGCAAGTCGAATTCGAATCACGTGACAAGACAGCGCAGCCGGTGCATCAACGCTCGACGTGGATATGTCTTCGAATTTTGGAACGCACCCACGGTTATTGTGATTGCACGGGGCGTATGTGGAAAGAACGGCGAGGAAAATGATCTAAAACTGCTACGGTTGTAGGAGCCGAGCGATGCCGCCCGAAAGGGTGTGTAAATGTTGTGGATCATCGTTAGTATGGTCCACCGCGGCCGAAAAAGCATTCTGACTATCCGGAAACGTAATTACCAAAATATGCCTTTAAAGGAAAAGGTCTTGTGTGGCGATCGAGGAAAAAGGGGAAAACGTTTAGGAACCTGACAGGTCCTTTCTCAGTACCTCAATGAACTTCGTTCTCTTTGATCGGTGATGATTGTCATGCGAAGAAAAAAAAGTATTAAAAGAAAAAAATACTTGCGGTGCGAAAAGTATCTAATAAATAAACATCTCGCTAATGGTTTGATAGTAAAGGACTAAAAAGTGTTGTACGAACCGGAAAGCTTGTGATGGGGAAAGCTTGTAACTTCCTTTAACTGCCTTCAATAGAGTAGTGAAACGACAATTTATAAAGCACCTTAATTTACTAGAAATCAACTTGAACTTGTGAAACTCCCAAATATATATCTAAGATGCACATCTGCTGCTCTAAATGGGACACCCTCAAAACTGCAAGATAGCAGCAGTGGCTCAGTGCCCTCATGCTGCGGGCACTGTTTTAAAAGCTCTGTTACTTCGCCTGCCCAGTGCTTTACCGCGTCTTCTATGCTTATTGTTCGCTTCCACAAAGTGCTGTTGTGGAACGTAAAGGGGCGGAAACAAGCACCAAAGAAATAGGGGCTAGAATATATCTCTCAAGCATTCTTGCGACTAAACTAGTTTTTAAGCCGTGTGTGCATGCATGCGTGCTCTGTTCATCATATTTCTGTCACGTTTGAAAGAGATCAAACTACATATCGCTAACCTTTTGCGAACCACACAGTGGCGGCCAAGCACGTGACAGGTAATCCGGTTCCCCAGCACAGGTGATATACACCAGGGGCTGTGCTGGGGCCCTCTTTCAGTACCTGGAGGGCCAGATCATCAGCGCCGTGCTCATCGGCATGCTCTTCATCCTGTTCATTTTCTACCTCATCGCTTTGACCATGTCCGTGCGGAGTGAAGTGAGGGCCCTCTCCAAGGTCTACACGAAGTACTACAAGACAGTCTTCTACGGGCAAGTCCGGATGACCCGCCGCTACCAGCGTCTCCGGAAGCTGAAAGGCGCGTCCAACACCGACGACGAGCGTATGGCGGCCATTATCCTGGGTCATCAAGAGCCCCATGGCAAGACGAGGAGACAACGGGCTCCGCTGTCCGACAGTAGCCCTGAGAAGAGTGCCATGTCCACCTGATACGGTAGGAGCTGCCATCTGCATTCAGGTTGGTTGCTCCGACTGGATCGATGCTTATATATCCGGGAAAGTTGGAACATCCATTGGAAGCCTTTGTATCTGAGTAGGTCGGAGCTCCGACGTGAAGCTTTTGTATACAGAAAAATCGGAGCTCCAATTAGAAGCATTTTTGTATAACTATGCTGGAGCTCTAACTGAAAGCTTTTGTATCCGGGAAGGTCGGAGCTCTGATTGGACGCGTTTGTAATATGGAAGTCTGGAGCTCTGACTGAGAGTTTTTGTATCCGGGAAGGTGTACGCTCCGAAATTTTCTATCCGGAAAGACCCGAGCTGCGATTGGAACTTTCGTATCTGGGAATTGGACGAAGCTCCTACTGAAAACATTTGTATACGAGAAGGTCTGAGTTCTGACTGGACGCTTTTGCCTCCGGTGGAAGTGAGCACAAAGATTTAGGAAGTTTTGTATCACGCATAACAACTGCGCAATACGAACACTGAAAGTTTCCTAACTCCAGTGGTGAAGGAGGGATAGGAAAGCCTTCACAAAATGCTTTACCGAAATCAAGAATGGAAACAATTTTCTTCATGTTTTGAGTCATAGATGTACTAAACCGGCATGGTAACGGGATTGTTTTTAATGTCAATTTGCGGCCAGAAGACAAAAAAAAAAAACAACATGTTATTACTTTTCATAATGTCGTGCTGCGAAGCTAAACTTAGCAAGAATGAACTTCATGGTGGAACGGTAAAGAGCGAGAAAATACCAAAAACAAGGGCGTATTAAGGCTGGGGAACATCTCAACTATCAGGCGTCAAAATCCTTGAAGCGTTGCAAAAGGCATCTTGCTGTATTAGAGATATCAATGTTTGTTTTCTAACGTTGAGTCGTGCAAAAACCAACACACTAAATACGGCATATAGTTGAGAATGCGAAAACGTTCATGTGGCGTCAATGTACGGCTTACGTATTCTTAATTCGACTCAATTTCAGAAATGGCAGTTACATTACGCGGTCCCGGCGTACGGGACGAGTTCACGGAGCTGGATTGCGGACTTTCTACCAATGACTTCCAGTTCAAGATTAGCAGCCCACCATCCCCCGTGTTAAAATATTTCCCTGAGATTTTTTAACATTGAATGCGTTTTCGTCTAATAAATGCGTTAATTATCATGCTGCATAGAGGTCAGTTGATTCGTAGTTACTCGGTGCTAACGTCCCCGATCAATTCTTGTGATTATATAGGTGTTTTCAACTATGCGCCAGAACACCACCGCTATACTATATACTCCGTTTCACCTTATGTTGCACCGCACCGAAGGCTGGAAGCGCTAGCTCGATCCACGATGTGCCCTAGAGCAAGGGGGGGGGGGGGGGGGACCTTGCGCTTGTAGCTTTTCTTGCGGTGCATTATAAGGTGAAATAAAGTATTTTGTCTTTATGAGTTCTTTGAAATGCGCGCAGGATTAGTTATTTGTCATTGAATGGTGCGAAGTGCACAGGAGCTTTAAGGTGCAACCCCACCGTTAATGACGTTTTGGTGCTTTTCCGACGGCTTATAACTTTCTTTCTATGTATCGTACAATTATAAAATTAGTGTCAAATTAAAGAGCAGTTTTTCAACAATGATTTAATGTCTTGATATCACGATTATTTTTAGTTGTTAGTTAATTATTTGGCTTTTAATAGACCACAGTCTCTAATATTGAAAAAATATTTCTCGAGTTATAAGATCCCATCGTCCACAATATTTTACGTGAGCGTTCGGTTAGATGTAATAAAATAAAAAAAGTAAGCAACGAACTTTACAGATAATGTATATTTTAAATGAAAAATAAAGTTTAAAATTGTAATATTTTATGGCGCTATAAAAACGGAATCACGTCAACTAATCAAAATAACGTGACATTAAATTATGAAGCATCCTTCGATATTGTGTACATGTACACATTGCTTGGATGAATCGGTAGAAAGACAGTGGAGAAGGCTAAACAGTGCTGGTTATGAGGATGAATTCGTAAGGAAGCAGTTATCCGTAAAATTCGCAAACAAATGTACAGGAGAACCAAAGCAAAGGCCGAAAAATAGAACTATTGTAATTCCATTTTATCACAAAATTTCTCACAACTTAAAGGCTTGTGCCAAGAAGTTCAATGTAGATCTGGTTTTTAGTTCGGATTATAAGTTAAGTAAGCTCACACCCTTCCACAAAAGTGTAAAGGAATGCGCAAAAACGCATCGAGAAAAGTCTATTCCGTGTGGTAATGGAGTGGTATATGAAATCCCCCTGGAATGTGGCTTTAAATATGTGGGGCAGACGTCAAGGTGTATCAATGACAGATTGACTGAACACAAAAGGAATGTCAAAAACAACGTGGCCAATTCGGAAATAGCGAAACATGTTCAAGAATGTAATAATTGTATACCCCACTGGTCTGAAACAGAGATAATACACAGAGAGGTAAACGACATCAAAAGGGTTGTAAAAGAAACATTAAGAATGAAATCAATGGGCAACTGCATTAGTCAGGTGTCGTTACAGCTTAGCAGCAGTGCAAAATCATTCTTGCGGATTTGAAAGTTTTGTAAAGTGCTTGTTGAATGTGAAGGTGTAAGTGGTTTCCTCCTTTGTGTATCACGTGGATTGATATCTTCTGTTACCGGGATGCTTTGTGAATGTGGGTCGGAGGGTAGAGGGGGAGAGTGTACTCTGTACGCGAAGGATTCAGTCAAGTGTCTTCCGGGTGACGGGAGCTATTGTTGTTGCTTTGCGGAAAACGTCAAGGTCGTTTGACAATTGTGGTGGAAAGATGTGAGACCTTTGTTATCTTTTGGCTTTCGAGATCGGGAAGGTTCTGTGGTGAAGTTCGTGGAGTGTATATAAGAAGGTGACCAAATAAACTTGTCTTTAGCTGTGTTAGAGACGTGTCCTCGACTGCTTATTTTTCTTCTACTTTGAAACTTTCCTCTTTTCCTGCCTCAGTCTCGGGCTAAGAACAAAATGGTTAACATCCACCAGCTCGCCTGCGCAATCACTACATTATCATTGAAAACATGTCCTAACCGGAAAAGGGCGACACGTCACGTCCGGAAGCTTGCTGATTGGCTCAAGCGCGCGTGTCAAGGGAAAAGTCGGGTTCCGAGGCGTCGTCTCCCTGCGTCGTCCTCCTCGGCGGGCGACTTTTTGCAATACAAAAATAAGCTAAAAATTTACCCCACGACGCGCGTCTTTCTGCTGTGTGAATGCGCGGCGGCATTTCCGAGAACTTGGAGTTTTACAAGAGAGGGCCACTATCTTTTGGTTCCCTCAAACAGCTTGGGGCTTCGCACATGCCCTTGCGCAGTGCGACGCCCCTAGCTGATCGGGGGAGCCAAAGTGTTAGAGCCTCCTATTCTAATACTCTCTACTGGTAAGGCATACTGATGTTCGGCTGATTGGCGTCATGTGGAAACATGCGCTGTACAAGGAACACCATCATCTCACTAGCGCACGGCGTGCGCTGTTTTTAGCGCCGAGATGTTTCGCTGACGCCCTCTTGTGGTTCCTCTCCGCGACGTCACGACCAGGACTTGCCTCGCCGTGACGTCACGAGTTGTTACCCTGGCTAGAGTGTAGAAAGGACGAGTGGGGCCACCGGAGGGCTATTTCTGCACCTCTGCATGTGGAAAAAAACGCGTTGCGTTTCAACGCCAAGCTCGGCCGACACACTGTTCAAGGTAATAGAAACTGTAGAACGCCGGGTTATATTTTTATACAACCTAGACGTCATGCGTCACGTCAATACATAACGTCATTGCGACCTGGCTTGTCGTTACAACGCCATGCGACATCATGACGACGCCTTGACGTCAACGTCGTCATCGACATTGACAAGGCGCGTTAGACGGCATCGAGACTGCGTTCCAACATCAACGTCAAGATGACGGCGTCCTTGTCAATGCGACGTCATAAAGACGCTTGGTGTCAGGTCGTCGACGTCGTTGCCGACATGGCGCAACTCGACGTCATGGCAACGTCCCGACAACTTCACGACGTCGATGTCGACGTCATCGTCAACGACGACGACGTTACACGACGTCAAGACTTCGTCGTGACGGCGCGTCGACGTTGATGTTGGCGAAGGCGACGGCGTTACACGCCGTCAAGGCTTCGTCGTGACGTCGTTGTGACGCGCTGACGTTTACGACGGCGTCAGGACGACGTTAACGTGGCATCATAGCGATGTTTGACGTTGCAAGGGACGTCTACGTCAACGTCGGCATCGACGACCACGTCCACGTCGTCCTCGACGCGGCGCGACATCATGACCGCTTTACAACGGCGACTTGATGTCGCGTAACGGCGTCGTCCTCAACGCGACGTCACGACCGCGTTACAGCGGCGACTTGATGTTACGAAACGGCGTCGTCCTCAACGTGACGAGATGTCACGACGGCCTTACGATAGTATCTTGCCGTCGCGTAACATGGTAACCGACGATGACGTCGTAGCGTCGTCGTAACGTCACGTCGTCGTGACGTGGTGTGTTGACGTTGCCCATGCATGAACCATCCGTAAAAACGAGTGTGCGCGAAGAGTGGTGCTCAGCAATGCGTACCAGGGACAATTGTCTTAAAACATGCGATGATGCATTGGATTTTTTTTTTGTTGAATTCCCGCAACATGCAGAATAATTAGAATTGTAGAATTGAGCCATGGTGGAGAGGGGCTGGTGTCTGGAGTCTCAAAAGTATTTGGTATATAGACATCAAGTGAACTAGTGATTTGTGAGTATCCTGAACACGGTCGTGCGCACCCGACTTTAAAAAGATGGTGCTTCTTGTTCCGTTTCAGGTGCCGAAGGTGGACGCGTATAGTCTTCTGAGTTCTTATAACTCCGGGAGATGTTGCTTTAGCTTCTGCGAGGGTACCAAGCTTCGAAATTTTGCTGGGGAATCCAAGGCAAGCCCGCAAAGCCTGTGCATCTTGTACACGCTCAAGTTCAATTAAATGGAAGCGTGA